CCCCCTCCCTCCCTCTCATCTTCTACTGGCTCTACTGGCAGAATCCATCTGAAAGTCAGCTGGCAGGGGGAATGGCTGATTTGGTCCATAAACCCCGCCTCGCAGGGCACAGAGCGGAACAGGGAAAGGTGAGAAAGATCTAGGACAGCCGGGCCCAGCAGCAGCGCACTGTACCGAAGGGACCGCTGTGTGCTGGGGGCTGCTGATCAGTGACGAGTACACGGGCTCTCAGCGGAGGCATCAGTCCCAGGCTGGGGGGTGGGGCGGGGGGTTCCAGGAGGGCTGCTCGATCCAGGAGACACCGGCTCTGACCTTGAAAGATCAAGAAGAGTTAGCCAGGTGAAGTGAGAGAGGAACTGTGTTTGTACAGAACCATAGTATGGGCAAGAGAGCGTGGAGCATTCTAGAAACCGAGTAAGTCAGCGTGGGTACAGCGTGGGAGATGGCGGCTAGCAAGAGATGGAGCTGCAGTGGGAACCGGGTTAGGACGTGGACAGCCGCAGGTCATGCGAAGCACCTCGATTTTGTCCAGACCCCAAACTGGCGCCTCACGGCCCTTCCCCGCTCCAGTCCCCGAAGAATTTTGTTTTTTAATTGAGCCAATACCTTAAATATGAGAAATTGCACATAAAACCCTGGGTTTCCATCTTCCCACATTCATTCACTTAACGACGATCATGACTGAGTTAGGGACGCTTCTCTGACTTCCCGAAGCCTCAGCCTGCTGCGCTCACGACGGCCCCTTTCTGTGCCTGTGAGAGGGCCAGCCTGTGGCAGACAGGAGCCACCAAAGGGTTTTGAGTGGAGGGACTGACGTGCTGGGGAGAGAGAGAATTAGAGACTCGTAAGGCTGGACTCAGGCCCTCTCGCAGGAAGCGGACGTGGCGAGGGTCTGGCCTGAGGCGTTGCCTTGGGTGGAGAGAAAGGACAGTCTGGGTCTAAAAGGCTACTCAGGGCCGGACTGACCCGTTACTTGACCTAGTGTATGAGGCGGGTTGTATGGAAGGAGGAGACACGGCTGATGTGTCGACTTCTGGTTTCGGCCAGTGTGTAGATGGGGCCTCCATGCCCTGGCCTAGGAGGCAGGAGGGGAGGTGATCGTGAGGACGGGGCCGATAACCAGTTCAGTGTGGGTCGCCAGACCGGGGAGCGGGTGCAGGACTTGCGAATTGAGAAATCTAGGAAGTGTCTGGGAAGGTATCTTCGGGTCCGTGTTGGAAACGTGAATTTAGGAGTCATCGGTCTTTAGACAGCAGTTAAAGCTCCGGGCGCAGATGCGCGCACCCAGGCAGCGTGTGGAGCAGGGAGAGAAGAAAGCGTAGGACGGCGTTCTGGGGAGCCCCTGGGACAGCGGCAGAGGCGGGGTGCTGCAGAGGACAGAGAAGGGAGAGGGCGTGGAACGGCAGCTCAGAGAGGAGGCAGCTGCAGGTGGCGCAGTGGACGGTGGCAGATACTGCACGGTGTTGTGTAAGCTGCTAGTCGCAAAGCATCATTTGGTTTAGCAACAGAGATGTCAGTTGGCCACCTGTTTTGATGGAGAGGGTGGAGGGAGCCAGCTTGCAATTCGAGAAGAAAGTACGAGGTACGGAAAGAGAGTGGGGACGTGTAAATGCCACTGAGTGGGTCTGGGGTCAGGAAGGGTGGAGGGAGGGAGAGGAGGTGACTGGACGGGCCCCAGGGAGGGAGAGGTGGGCTCCAGAGAGCAGTGCAGGAGCGGTAGAAGCTTCCGGAGGCCCGATCTCACCGGGCCGCTGGTGCTGAGGGAGGAAAGTCGATCCCTTGTCCCGCGAGTGGACAAGTAGAACCACCCACTCGTTCTGGGCTTTCACTGAGAATAAATGTAGGGGGCTGAGTGTTCACGTGCGAGCTGATCATTTGCTCAAGCGTTTACATCCTTTCTGTGTTACACCTACATATATTTTGAAACGCTCCATTTTTGTTGGATTTTCAATTCGAAGAAATCCATTTCGGTGTAGTTCGATTTTGGGAGGCGAACGTGTGGCTGTAACTCTTGGCGTGGGTCTCCCGGCGGATTTTAAGTGATTTTGGACTTTCTGTCCCTCGTGCGTGGCTCCGACAGGATCGCGCCTGCGACCCTTCGCCAGGCCTCCTACGGCACCATCAAGATCGGCACTTACCAGAGCCTGAAGCGGGCGTTCGTGGGGCGCCCGGAAGGTGAGCAGGGAGCCCCCTCCGCTTGGGGACAGGAAGCGGGTCGTTCATTTCCTTATTCAAGTGGCTCTGCGTCAGGGTTTCTTCATCTTCTTTGTGACTTTACCGCTGCTGCCGAGAACTCTGGGTGTAAAGTTTACTTTAATTCTGCTGAAAGCAGGTCAGTTATCAGCTGAATTTGGGGGAGTAACAGTTAAAAGGAGCAAACATTTTAATCAGTCATCCTCATCTCTAAAATGCCTAGACTAGAGGATGTGTCGTTACAGTTCAGCCAACTTAAAGTTTTCTAAAGTCAGAGGAATCACCACCGATATTTCAGGAAAGCAGCGAATACCTTTCTCAGGGTTAAGAACCGAGTTCTCATGCTGTGTCGCTGGTCGACTCTGCGACTTCGCTTCAACCCATAGAACTTGATCTTTTTTTACAATGGGACGAGCACCAGCCAACTGTTGTGTGAGCGCCATGAACAGGAGCTGAGATGCTTCAGATTAAATATGTCCGATGAGCTTGGAAACTTCATCCCCACGTTAGCCTCACAGTAGACTTTTCATCCTTCCCCAGATCCACCTCATCTCAGTCACTGCAGGGCCAGCATTTACATACAGGGTGGCACATGGGTACTACTTTGTGTGACGATTCCCATTCCTTTTTAGATGGCAAGAAGTTTTGTGAAGCAGAATCCCTTTAGGCAGCAAAATTCCTAATTCTTTAAAATTGTTTCATTCATGACGCATACATTTCTCCATTTTCTCTAGAGGAAAATGTAGGTAAATGAGTTATACCTGTACTTGAGTTCCCCGAGGAGCTCTGGTATATGAAAAATCGAATAATATGTCTCTGTTTACAGATGAGACCCTTCTGATAAATGTGGTCTGCGGAATCCTCTCTGGGGTCATATCATCGGCCATCGCCAATCCAACCGACGTTTTGAAAGTAAGCAGTGTTCCCTGTATCTTCTGGGCACACCCCAAGTTTTCTTATTGAGAACAATGTGCAGATGATGAAAATCTGCAGATATCACATACTCGGTGTGTGTGAATCTGTTTATAATTTAAATGCCATGAGGACTCTAGCATAAATATCCAGTGGGTACATTTGCCACTGGTACAGATGATCTCAAAAGGAGAGCTCATTTTAGAGATGAGGTTTTGGGTGATTAAGCAGAAAAAAACAATTTAGGCTTGGATGCATTTGAATTATATTTTTCATTGAACATCTCCCTTGTTTTATTGGTTCATTAAAAACAGGCGGGCTTCAGATTTTACAGAAGTCTGCTTGTCGATGACCATTTCTGAATGCATACGTCATCCATTAATTCAATTTCAGGAAATACAAATGGAAATATTTACTTTCCACAGTTAGACGTGACAGGTTAGGGGACCTTGTTGACAATACCAGGAATACAGCCTTCTTAAATCCCTTTCGGAATAAGGCAGGGGAATCAACGAACTAAATAAAAGAAAAATTAGGTGTGAGTTACTTTCGAATCCTCTCACATTTTCCTCTTTCTTATTTTTTTGTCCCCGTTATTTAACCAGAATTCACTGTGCTTCTACCTTGTACTAGTCGGTGTTCTTTTGGCATTTAGAATCCAAAAATGAGTAGGACAAGGACCTTGGCCCTCAGCCTTCGGTCTAATGGGAGATTCTGACCAGCGTCAGAATTTTACGCAGCAGCCTATTGAATTCACTGCAGTTATGCACATGATGGTACCATGTGCGTGAAGGCCCTGTAGCCATAATTTTACCCTATATTGGGGTAAGATTGCTTATCCATACGATGAATCTCTAAAACATATCTCAAGGCTACAGAAAGGCAGTTCCTGTATTTTGGTTTATTTTCCCATGTTAGGGTAGCAATAGCAGTTCTCTTTAAGAAGTTACAGGTAATATATTTGCCCCCTGAACCAAAATAAGGTACCAATTTTTTAGTGAGATTTTTTTCATTCTTAAAAATGCAGAGAGCTACATCAAACGTTTATTTTTATGCTGGAATCTTGGTCATGTGAATTCCATGGCCGTCGTGAAGTTCATCTGTGAGTTCAAGTGTAACAGTGTGGCGGGCGTCCTGGGCTGTCCCGTGGCCCACTCGTCCGCACACCTTTTGGCTCAGCTGGTCGGAACTAACAGTGTCTTGGAGTAACGGGTGAAAGGAACACAGTGGTCCGTGCCTGCTCAGCAGCCTGTAGGGGAATAGGCCATTTTCTTTCCTTTTCAAAAGACTATTTAAAAAAAAAAATTAATTTCATTTCGACCCTTGCAAAGAGCCGCTAGATACAGGACTTTCCGGAGTCTGCTAGATGCTTTTCGTTAAATCCAAAGTGCCTAAGAACCAGTGCTTACGCATTCTTAGTCTGTGGAGGATATTTTAAACTAGCGTCATAGTAATAGTTATGTTATGGCTTTTTCAAATGGCGATTAAAGAACAGACGGGACGATTTTCAGGGATCTGCATTTGGGGAGAAATGTGCTGGTCTCCTTCTCACGCTCGTCTTTAAAATGACCTCTAGATACGAATGCAGGCCCAGAGCAACACGGTTCCGGGAGGGATGATAGGCAACTTCGTGAACATTTACCAGCAGGAGGGGGCGAGAGGGCTGTGGAAGGTGAGCACGATGGGGCCCGCTGCCCTGCTTTGAGTTTGTTTTTCCCGTTTCCATCACTTTATTTCACCCGAATGGTACAATGGGGGGAGGGAAGGAGAATGACATTTGCCCTCGAAGGTATCGTCTTCCTTAATTTCCTCACCTATAAAATGGAAATATAAGGAATGTGTCGTGATCTGAACATCCGTTTTGAATAATTCACACATAAGAAGTTCTGTCTACGGCCACGCCACCCCGGACAAGCCCGATCCCGTCTGATCTCGGAAGCTAAGGTGCCACCCCGGACAAGCCCGATCCCGTCTGATCGCGGAAGCCGAGCAGGGTCGGGCCTGGTTAGTACTTGGATGGGAGACCACCGATGAAGACGAGGTGCTGTAGATGTAAAACATAAAAAAACAAGGGATTGTAGCTGACAAGGTCCTTGCAATCTGTGAGGTATTGTAAGCTGGCAAGGGCCTTGCAATCTGTGAGGTCAACCAAGGGTTGCCTCGCCTAAAAATAAATTAATTAATTAAAAAAAAAGTTCTATGAAGGTTGAACATCGATATGGTTCCATGACTCTTAAGTCAAGGCTGTTACAGTCAGGCACTGGTATGGAGGGCTGTTTATTATTCTAGTGACTCGTCGGTTCACAGGACAGACCCTACGGGTCGTCTGGCGCCATCCTCTCTGTGTGGATGAGGGAACTGGAGGCTCTGAGAGGGGACTCATTCTGGCCAGGGTGTGGCCAAGGTGACACCAAGGTGACAGAATCAGAATTCGACTTTGGAGCGTCTGACTTCTTACACGCTGGTCTTTTCTGCTTTGTCACCCTGAATTTCCACGTCCCAGTAGGAACGTGAAAACTGGCCATAGTTAGGTAGGACCTCTGCACATTTGCAAGGCTTGTTCTTCGGAGAGCGATCTGAATCTTTATTACTAATATTTTTACCCAGGGCGTGTCCCTTACTGCTCAGAGGGCCGCGATTGTCGTCGGCGTGGAGCTGCCAGCCTATGACCTCACCAAGAAGCATCTGATTCTCTCCGGCCTGATGGGAGACACTGTGTACACTCACTTCCTGTATGTTGATGGCTTTTTAAATTAATATTTTGTGTAGACGTGAGTTCAGGGTGGAAATTTGCTGCAAATTTATAGGAATTTTAAAGCTTGTTATAAAAACATTATAGTCTCATATTTGAAAAGTTGCAGTGCAGGTGTAAACCGGGACAAAGTAAGAGTCCTTATCCCTTAAGTCATTGTCACCTGTTTGATGAGCACCTTCCAAGAGTTTTCTATGCATGTGCAAATAAGTCTGCGAAGGTATGTTACATGTCCTTTATTGCGCAGACAGGATCATGCTTTGTAGTCCCTACTTGCTTTTTATTTTGATTCTTTTCGTTGTTTCTGCATTACTGAGGTATAATTGGCAAGTAAAATTGAAAGATGTTTAAAGTGTACAACATGATGATTTGATATACATACATGTTTCGAAAGGACCCCCATCCAGTTAATTAACACGTGTCACCTCACATTCTTACTGTGTGTGTGTGTGTGTGTGTGTGTGTGTGTGTGTGTGTGAAAACATTTAGGTTCCGCTCTCAGCAGATTTCAGTAATTCAGTGCGATGTCCCCAACCACAGTGACATGTTATATACGTCAGATTGTCAGACCTGATCCCTCTCACACTGAAGAGTGTACCCTTTACCAGCCTCCTGATCTCACCCACCCCCAGCCCCTGGCAGCCATTTTTCTATGAGTTTTTGTTGCTATGAGTTTGACAAGTTTTTGGTTTTTTAGATTCCCTTTGTGATACCATGCAGTATTTGTCTTTCTTGCTTTTTAAAATTCGATTACACACACACACACACACAGACGCTATTTATTTTTAATAGCTGTAGATCAGTGTGGATGTATCATAGTTTAATCCACTGAGAGTGTTTTTGCCCCTCTGGGATCCTTGGAAATTTCTGGAGACGATTCCCTTTCTGACCAGGGGGGTGCGCTGTTGGCATCTCCCAGGTCGGGGCCCGGGAGCTGGGACGCACCTTACCATGGGACAGGCCTCCACGCACAGGACGATCTGGCCCAGAGCTTAGCGCTGCTCCGAGGTAGCCGATCCCAGGTAGCCGATCCCAGGTGTGGTCTGCGGCCCGTCTTGTGGGACCGGAGGCTTCGTGGAACCTGAGACCCTGGTGAGCATGCACCGCAGAGAGGAAAGTCTCTTCTCTGATCCTGACGAAAGTACGGTCCCGATGTGGCTGAAATTACTCCGAGGTCTGCTTGCAGGTGAACCGATGCGGTGGCTCAGGCTCAGAGGCCGCTCCTCCGTGTTTCTCTGATTCCTTAGCGTCCCAGAACCTCCAAGGTAGTCCCCGCCGAGGCTGGAATTTAGAAGGCGCTGCAATCGCGCAGGCGTTTAAGAGCTCTGTGTAGCCGTAGGGATGTGGACCTCGGTTCCGACGTGTTCCGTCTTGTCACGTGTTATCGTGCAGTTCGGGAGGAGGCCGTTTCCTGCCCTCCCCATGGCAGTGAGCTTGGTGTTTCTTCAGTGGTATCTTCTTCACAGTGCCAGCTTCACCTGCGGTCTGGCGGGAGCCCTGGCCTCCAACCCTGTCGACGTCGTGAGGACACGTATGATGAATCAGAGAGTCCTTCGCCATGGCGGATGCGCTGGCTACACGGGGACCCTGGATTGCTTGTTACAGGTGAGAACGAACCACTATCTGCACAGGGTCGCGAATCCCTCGCATAGCTCATCAGCTTCCATGTTGCCCCTCACGAGATTCTCATCATGATTTCAAAACACTGGATTTAGAGCAAGACAGACCTGTGGATCTGTCACTTGTAATTGTGTGACTTTGGTCAAGGTACAGACTGTAGACTTCAGTTTCCTCATAAGCGAAATGAGACAGTCATAGCACCTACATCATAGGGTTATTGTGGAAATAATTGAGAAATGCCTAGAACGGCATAGTGCCTGGAATAATGCGCATAGCCTTGTTAGAATAATTCATAGTAACGAGGGACATTCTCGTGAAGTAAGCAAGTTTTACTTAATCTTCAGCATTCTGTGGGTTGCTTCAGTCAGTGAAACTGCCCTATATATATATATATATTTATGTATTATATGTTACTTATTAAAACTAAGAAGTAACTATTATAAGTAAGGTGAGTGACACTCTACAGCCCTGCGATGGTGCACAGCTTTTGCCACCCAGGGGCTCATTTCTATAAATACAGAATCGAGATGAGTTTTCAGGAACGAAAACTCATCTTCTTTATGCCTTTGCTCTGCTGGGAAGGGCGAGCAAACGGCCCTGGTCCCTGCGACCGTAGCAGCGCTGTGTCTCCTTCCTTCCAGTTAAGTCACACTGGACCGAATGTCCTTCGTCCAGACATCACATCAGTCTTTTGGAGATTCTTGGTGTAAGTCACCGGCCCTGCTGTTCACGAGCGGACAGAAGTTTGTGACTGTCCCCGCCACTAGATTGTCAGCAGCCAGAGATCAAGATTCTCAGCAGCCAGAGATCAGGGGCCGCTTTCGTGGTTTCCATTTTCCCGCACGCTGCTGGCACATCCCAGACTTGAGGTGTTGCTTTAACGAAGCAAAGATGCTTATTTTTATCCATCCAACAACGTGACGCAGTGGTGCTCTGAATGACATCTTTACCGCCACCGCTTCGCTGCTTTCCTTCTGAGCTGTGAGGGCCGAATGTCAAGGAGATCAGACGAAGGACTCTGGCTGCAATTGATCTCCTTTCTTATTCATCCGGCTGCTGTTCGTCCGCTTTGGGCGTGGGGTGGTTTGGCGTGGAGCCTTAGTCTTCACCTGCCCTGTGGTTGGTAGGAGGCAGAGGGCAATGATTTCTTAGACACTCCTTCCAAACAGGATTTTATTTTTAGGAAAAACAGATCAGTTGCATCCAGATACTATTATTAAAGCATTTGACATAATTGGAAAGTCAGAAATTAACTTTTCCCCCTTTTATAACAGACGTGGAAGAATGAAGGGTTTTTTGCTCTTTACAAAGGATTTTGGCCGAATTGGTTGAGACTTGGTCCCTGGAATATCATTGTATCCTCTTCTGTTGCAGTGGATTCGAGAAAAGGTATAGCTAGAAAGAATGTTGTTTGTATAAACTCTCATGTCATGAGATAATTTAGAAGTAGGTTTTTATTTTTGCAGGTTCCCGTGAGTCAGGAAATAACTCTTCAGTTTCTTCTTCAGGAGGTATGAAGTCTGGGCTAGGCACTGTGAATCTTGGTTTAATGATGTAACACGTCATTAAAAGGTAGTGGTGGCAATAAAAACCTTTAGATTCTGCTCTAAACGATGGGAGTAGTTATGATTTCGGAGAGAGGCAGGGTTGACTTTCTATCCCCAGCCACCCCGGGAAGGGTGTGGTTTGGCAGCAGTGTTCTAGAATCTTTGTTTTAGAGAGTGCCTAGGGAGAAACAGTAATTAGCTCTAGAATTATTTGGCCAAGCAGTGCTATTTCCCGTCTGCCAAAGTGGCGGGTAGTGAGAAGTGGCGGTTGATTAGCCGGGAAGGGGCAGAATTACAAGGTCGGGGGTTCGGTTTCAACGTCCTCTCGTCTCCCTCCCTCCCAGCGCCTCCCTCCCGTGGGAGCCTGCCCTGCGGACACCCTTGAGGACAGCTCCCCAGGGCTTGCAGTGTTTCTCTGTCACACAGAATGTACCGTTCTGTGGTCCTCCCAGTCCAGTGATGTTGCAAGCGCTAGGCGCGCAGGGCAGTCCCAGAGCTGCTGCCAGGGGCTGTGCATCTCAGCTGTGCTCTTGTCCCCGGGTGCCCTCGGGAAGGGGCACGGGGTGATCTTCCGGGATGGTCAGAATGGAGCCCCTGTGACTCCATCATGCTGCCCAGACGTATTTGTTAGCCAGGGGTCTCTTTGTGGGTCTGTCTGTTTTTATGCGTTGGCGGGGAGATGACATTTTCTTTGTCAGCCTTAACTGATGACTGTAGTTCTTTGTGACATATGAGCAGTTGAAGAAGTTGGATTTGTGACAAGTCCAGGCTGCATGAGACACCCCCCCCCCTCTGCAAGTGCTAAGTTCCCACAGTAAAGCTTCCTGTGTCACGCGGCTCCTCGCTGCTGCTCACCGCTCGGCTCCTCCCGGCTCCTGAGGTGGGACCCAGGGATGACGCTGCTCGGGCTGCCGCGCCTCGGTGTGGACACCCCGCGTTGTGCAAGCTCCAGTCCTGAGCGTCGGTGACCTTTGACAGCAGAGGGGACGTGGACCGCACGTCTCCTGCCGAAGCAACTGCAAGGCCAAGGACTGCACGGTGCTCTCCTCGGGGGCAGGAGGGGCAGGCCCCCCCCAGGACGGTTTACTGTCCCCGCACGTCGTCAGGGGTCCTTTGCTGCTTGTCAGCTGAAGAAATTCCGCATGTGGAGACCTGGACTTTCCCGCCACAGGTATCAACAGTGCAGGAGACGGGTCCCTGGGACATTGCACTGCTTTGTAATTTCCTATTCTGGCAGCGTATTTCACTTACAATAAGTGACATTAAGCCTCTGAACACTCGACCTTTGTGAGGAATTGTTACAAAGTTTTAAGTCTCATCTCACGGTGGTGTGACACCGTGGGTGCGTGTTGGTGGGAGGCTTTCAGGCAGCGTGGGTTCTGTCTTAGGTCACGTTGCAGTTTGCTCTCTGACTTTTAGCGAAGTTTATTTCCCAGTCTGTCAACGGGGATAATAACATCTAACAGCGTTGAGGGTCAAATGAAGAAAACAGTAGTTGCTACTGCTTGACTTGCAGGACAGGTGTGTTGCTGGTGCTGTCCCACAGCTGTGATCTCAGGATGGACAGTCTGTGGACATGGGACAAAGTCCGCGCTCCGGGGACACCCGTTGTAGTCCTGAGTGGGGCCTTTGTGAAAGAGACGGCTGTGTCGGGTCAGGTGTCACAGCATCCAGTAGCAAAATGTCGCCTCTGTATCAGAGTTGATTTTTCCAGATTTCCCAGTTTTTACTTTTGTTCGAGTCACGTTTGGTAAAATATTCCGTCTTGGACTTCCTGATCAGTTTGGATGGGAGAGACGCGCATGAAATCTGAGAAGCGATTTCTTCAGTCTTGCACCTGTTTATCTGGGCTCTGATAAGAGGTGTGCCACATCTTCTCAGCACGAGAGAAATCATTCTCCTTCTCCCTTCTTGTCTTTACCTTATTCTTTCCAAAATAAAAGTGACTCTGTGAGTCTCAGGAACTTGACACTTCTAGAAGACAGCCCCAGGAAAGGGATGGGAGTATGTGGGCTTGAGTACCTTCCGTCCTTCCCTTGGAGAACTCAGATACACACTGACGAGTGGGGGGTGGGAGGGAGTGGGGGTGGCTGCGGAGGCCTGACCTCCAGGCTGAGGCTTCTGCAGGATGTGCCGGGAACTTGTCCAGCCCCTGGGCTGCTTCCTGCCTTGAAGCACAATAGAAGGGACACAGGTTTTTTGTTTTTTTTTTCCAAAAGTAAGAGCTCAGACCCCCATTACAAAGAGAAGGAAGAAAGAGGAGGGGCGCGAGTGGCCAGTAGGTGTTAAATGCTTAAAGACGAACGGGAAGTCCCAGTGCCCTGGCTGGCTCTCGGGGTGACTCTGGAGAGCCAAGCTCATTCGGGCCTCACTCCTGGTAGGGACCCCGTCTTAGAAAGAGATTTTTTCCTTCTTTCAAAACATTCCGTGGACGTGGTCAGGGCTCTCTGTAGAAAGGCCTCCACCTTTGAGTTCTTTGAGTTTAAAGGATTACTTTCTATGAACCACTCTTGATTTTTTTGATATAGAAAACATTTTATTTTTTAAGTGTACATATACTGTCTATGAGTAAATGTCATGCGAAATTCATTACATCGATTGATTAAAATTATGTACATGTTCATGGAGAATGAAAAGAAATTCAAACCTCACTAAAACTTAAGCATGTTTTAGAGACAAAAATACAGTATTTTTTCAATGTAGATGTAAACACTTTACAGAACGGGATCTCGGTCTCTCGTTTTTCCTGCTTGCTGAAGCTTCTAACCAAGAAGGAACCGAAAGACTTGGGAGATTTGGTCCTCTCGTTTTCAAGGCTGTGGCTATAAGTCCCCCGTCCCCTTGGGTATAGCTTAAATGTGGCAAAAGGATTTTTAGCTTTTATGAAAAAAGACGGATTTTTTTTTTGTTTGTTTGCTTGTGGATTTGTGTAATCATTGATGCTAAATGTTGCTGATCTGTGGTGTAAAAAACACCTCTTGTTCTTCGTATTTATTCTTGCACTGAAATAGTTTAATTATATAAAATCTATAAAATTTTCATAAGCCTTTATACTTCGAGCTCTTTAAACATTGGAATATGTGGCATAAACTTTATTTCATTATTTAATAAACCGGAGTAATATATAATTGTAAAAATGAGTTGTGGTTATTTCAGATAAGTAGAAACATTTAAACAAAGACCAGCTCCGAAGATTCCAGAAGGCTGGAGTAGAAATGGCAACGGTGACGGTGGCCGCAGACACTTCTCTCTGCGCAGAGAAGCTGTTGGGGTCATCTTACTAATCGCCTGGACATCTGCGTGACCTCCCATTATGTGAAATATTCCGCAGCTCAGCAGATGCCAGTGAATTCGCTTCATGGGCTGGGTCGAGAATACCAGTGTGATGACATCAGTGCCCTGAAGTCCCCCGTCCTCCTTCCAGCCTTTCACGTTGGCTCGAGGTGGGAGCTGGGGTCCTCGCAAACCGTGGACCAGGCAAAGACACCTCTGCTCGCCATGAAATAACCAGCGGGTGAAAGGCAAACATGGTTCATTCATTTTTTAACTTATAAGTATTTTCTAGGTGCCTGTCTTCTTAGCATTTGGATCAAACATAGTGGTTTATTGGAAAAATATATAATTGGGAAAAAGAGGGAGACTTTTTGTCTCAGGCCTCCTACCTAAGAGATTAAATGACATGCCCGTACGTGCCTGGCTTCACGGGAAGGGCCGGGAGAGCAGCTGGCTGCGAGTGTGTCTCAGATCCCTGCAAACAGAACTTTCGCTCGGATCGTGGCACCTGTCAGACACATTTGGCTTTAAATACAGGCTATTTGTTGTTAAAGTGGCAGCTGGCAAAATCCGATAGGGTAAATTTTCGGTAGATTCTAAGTAAATGCATTTGGGAATAAAAGACAAGGGCAGCGTATGAATCTGTTTCTTAAAAGCCTGATGCAGATAATGTAACCGAGAGCAAATAACCGGAAGCAGCCTCTGCGTCTGTCTGTCCTCTGCCTAACTAAACTGTGGTCCGTCCATACAATGGCTCACTGTGTGGCACCTGAGAGGAATGAGTTAGATCTCAGCCTGTTGACCTGGAAGGATGCCCATGATATGTTGCTAAGTAGGAAAAAGGTTGAGATGCAGACTCCTATGTATACCATGAACTCATTTCTTTTATGTCAGTAGAGGATGGATTTAAAGGGTGTGTGTTAGGGTTCTCCAGGCAAACCACCAATAGGGGTGAGTCCAGTAATTTGGATACAAATGGCTGGGCACCATTTGTATCAGTTCTCAGCTATAACATCTTTCCCAGGGGCATTTTCTTAGCCCCCTGGTGAGATCCAGCCTCCCACCCTATGCTCCTGTGGCACCCTGTACTTAGCCTTGTTAGAGGATAATTTTCAGAAAAAGGTAAAAGTATGACCCTAATGCAAATATAAATTAATAAAACGGAAGGAATAAACCAAACAGGAAAAGAAGACTATAAAAAATAGCCAGGCAGTTTATAAAAATAATCCGATTTTTAAAAATGATATTTAAAAAATATCATCTTTAAAACTAAAAACATACCGTTGAAATGAAAACAGGCATATAGCTGAAGAGAGAATTAGTAAACTGGATACTAGATCTAAAGAAATTTCTCCAAATACAACATAAGACAAAGAGATGGAAAATGGGTTAAAAACCACAGCGCATAGGATGAAAGGGTGGTATCCGGCCAGGTCCCATCAGGAAGCAGAATTTACCTGGGTGGTTTCAATGAAAAGACTGTGCTGGAGCAAGGACTTGCAGAGGCGTGGGCAGAGCTGGGGAGACCAGCGATGGTTGTTGATACACCTAGGGACGAGCGACGGTGGGAAACCATCGCCACCTGTGGGGTTTGAGAGGCGAGGACAGGAAATGGCGTTGCCGGAGCCCAGTGGAGGAGAAGCATTGGGCAGGAGCTCATCATAGAGGGCGCAGCTATTGCCGGGGACCCGAAGTGAAATGGAGAGCGTGAAAAAATACCGTTTCTCTCCCCATCCGATGTCCTGCCCGGGTTTCACTGGCTCCACTCAATTGGAAACCGAAGCAGAAAGGAAGCGGAGTAATACAGTCCACATCCAGGGGGCCATCATCCCAAAGCGCTGAGCACAGCACAGGTGTGATAGATTTGAGGGCAGTCGGGGATCCACGCCCCGTCCACGATCATGAAGGAGGCTCTTCTTCCCCAATTCTTTTCCAGTGACACTCCTGATTGGGTCTGTCACATGGTAGCAGTCCATTTTTCATGCCTGAATTTTCTTCAGAACCATCAGTAAGTAAATCAGGCCTGAGTTTTCTCTTTGTCAGCTGGCGGTGGAGAAGTCCCAAAGATGCCATGGGTGTGGTTTGAGGGAAAAGGTAGGAGGTAATGTGGGCAGGAGCACGTGCCATGGGAACCCGAGCCCCCTACCCGAGGCTTTAGGAACTGTTGGTGCAAGGTCCATACTGCAGATCCCATACGGCTTCCGTTTGCTGCCAGACGCCTGGATTCCGCTCTGTCCATATTATGTCATATTCAGTTAAACCTCAAGCCCTGCGGACTCTGTCTTCTTACGATCTCTTCCATTCCTCCTTTTTCCGTCTGTAGTGACGCTCCTGAGTTCAGGCCTCCTGGATGACTAAAACAGTCTCTACTCTGTCCACACGTCTGGGGTCGTCCCTTGTCAATGCAGGTGTTATTCTGTCCAGGACCTTCTCACAGGGGCAGCTTGGTGCTGTCCTCACTGCCCATTCTCCTCAGCATTGAGGTCACACTCCTTAGCGTGACAGTCACGCTTTTCATAGTCTTGTCCCTCCTCATCCCTTTGGCCTGACGTCTTGTCACTTTTCTATCTTCAACTCCAAATTCCAGCCGTATTGGAAAACTTGTCCCTAAAAATGTTCTATATTCTTGCTTCTGGACCCGTAGCACCCACTGTTCCTCTGGCTTGAAAGGGTTTCTCCTACTGCCCTTCAGATGCCATTCACTCAGATCTGTCTATTGAGCATCTGCTGTACACCAAGCACTATGCTTAGAGGGCCCTCACTCCAGGAAACCTACTGTGATCTTCCAATCGATCAGACGCTTTTCTTCTGTGCTCTCTGAATCATCATCTTATGTTTATTCCAGTGATCCTACCTTTTATAGCGTATGCCATGGTCCAGCATTTGTCTGTTATACTGGATCATAAGGTCCTCGAAAGTAAGAAATGTTATTTAATATTGAATATTCAGAACAGCATATAACATGGCACATAGTAGGTACACACTAAATATTTAATAAGTGAATGAGTTAATGAATGAATGGGTAATTGGTTGTTTTGAGATCCCTAAACACATGCACACACACACACACCACATAATATAGGAATTATATAGACACATCATAAACAGTACACGCTCATTAAAAATATATAAACGGAAAATACAAGGAAATTTTAAACAATTAAAAATGACTAAGCCATCCAATAAATTTATCATATTTCTATACCTAAATTTTTCAAACGTTTGTTAGTATCCCATGACGAACATCTTTTACATAAAGCTCTTAAAAAATCTTTAAGATTATCAATTTTTGAAAGAACCGGAGACGATGGAGTAAAAACAAAAAAGGGAATATTTTAAAGCTACTGATGGATTTTTCCAAAGACGTTTCACCAACGTCATCAGTGTTTGGTCTCATCACCAGCACGTGATCATTTTTCTATTGTACTCGTTTTAATTTTATTACCAATAAACATGCAGTTCAAAGCTTTTAGAGGCTCAGACGCCAGGCACACTCGGTGGATGTCTGGTGCAGGGCAACGATTCTGCATGGGGTGTGGGAAAGGGGGCGTGGCCATCAGGTTCAGGGCTTCCGGATCCAGGGAACTTCCCTGTCTGGAGCCCCACCCACTCGAGAACCAGGTTGCAATACACCGCTGCTGTTGGGACTGGATCAGATCCCTCTGTGGTGTGGCCCAAGAACTGGCTGGAAAGCAGTTGAGGTTGTCCTTGGAATATGCTCAGTGAATTTCTGGAAAGTGCCCCCAGGCAGAGGTACAGCTGGAACTAAGTCCTCGAGGCTTTGGAGGATCAGCCTGGAGAATTCCAGAGGGATTAAAATCTAACCAAGTGGAAAATTTCTCCCTCTTCCTCTTCCTGGGTCCTCGTTCTCTTCTTCCCCACCCCTTTCTTCTTCAATACCTGAACGGAACTGGGCACATCCCATGTGTGGCTCTAGGGCTTTCACGCACCATCACCTCGTTTTATCCTCACCACGCGTCCCGTGCCCAAGTACTTTGATTGTTTCATTTCGTACACATTTCACGTCAGGACACCGAGGCACAGAGGTACAAGTCGCCTGCATTTTTGCGTAGAAGAAACCCAGGGCACATCCTTTCATCATCTGGCCCTGAGCC